GTGATAAATCTGACCACAGCTAATGGGAGGGAGGGGAAGGGAGGAAATCCCAGGGACTGAAGCAGATACACTTACTTCTGAAACTGGCTGGTTATTTGCTTTAAACCCCAGTGCAGCACAATGACCCTTCATGACTAATCTTTAGGCCAATAAACTAGATTAGATACCTAGGGCTCCTCTAAGTGTTTAAGAGTTCTTGATTCTTTAAAATATAATTCATTAGGAAACACGGTTCTAATTATGTTTATTACCTTAAAGAATTCAAATCCTTAATTATAATAAAGTTGGTGTAGAAACTGCAATTCAAAATACTTATACAAGGTATTCACAGATCTATCAATTGCAGTACAATCCAGGAACTGCTCAAGGCATTTTACTGACTCATGGGGGAGGGAATATTAAAAAATAAACATTATTGTTTGCTTTAAATTGAGAGAGATTATGACTTGGCAAAGTCTAAGAAACTAGGGTGACTGGAGAAAACAAGCTATCTGGTTTGTGATGCCAATGACATTGACTGCTGCCCCCTGATCTATGTGACTTGCTTGTGACACCTAGTGAACCAATTCTATCTTTCCCCCTCCTAGTTCTGAACAGAAGGGGAGAGCAGCAGGTGTCATTTAGATAAGTTAATATAAGGCTTAGATGGAGGAGCACAGAAACACCAAAAGGAAAGCACCAAGAAGCAGGAAGTTAGGTTTAGAACTCTAATCCACAATGGATCTGCATTACTTTGATTCAGTTTGCAACGTGAACTTTTCCCATCTGTCTGTTTCCCTGGAGTCACTAACAAGTTTCCCTTTGGAAGCCCCAAAGGGCCTTTTCTTGTGCTGGTGTCAGAGGCAACAGAAGAGAATGGGGAGAAGCCAGAAGCACGGCTGGGCTGAAGATAACAATTTCCAAGGAGAAACAAGTAGTGGCGGTGGCAGTTAGAATGTGAAGAGACTGGGTATCATCCCTGGATCTGAGTATAACCAAAGGAAGCTTGGGTCCACAATGCCTAGGGATTGCATTAGTGGAAGGACGGAGTCCTCTAGAGTGTAACTGCAATAAGCTCACACCCAAACCTAGAGGAATTTACATTTATGAAGATTTGTATCAGGAAGCCTGTGCTCTATGCATCATCCTCCCAAACCCCTTACCCCCAACAAACAGGCCCGGGCCAGGTTTTATGAAAGGTTTATTTCTGGTCCCAGGCTCCCAGGCCACCCTAGGGCTGGTGTGACAGTTTCTACAGACTGGACAGGCACCCCAGAGTCCCACCCACAATTAAATTAGGAGAAACACCACCCTGGCTCCAGGGCATAGAAAGAGACAGGCAGATGCTGGGACAGACAGCACGGCAACCCTAGTCCTTGCCCCATACCTCCCCAGTCTGCTACCCTTTGGTCCTAAGACCCTCCCCTCTCCCCCACCCACCAACAGTAATGGAGGGAGTGGAGGGGGAGGACACTGAGGGCAATGTCATTGGCTAAAGGATCCCCGAGTGATGCCAGCTCAGGGTAGGGTCCCAGGAGACCTGCTATCGGCCAAGGGAAAGACCCAGGAGTGATACCATTGGCTTAAGGGAGAACCCTGGGAATAATGCCATTGGTTGGGAAGAGGGCCCTTAGGGAAAACAACCATTGACTGAGGGGTAGTGGGAAAAGATCTGGAAAGTGAGGCCAAACTAGCTGACAGAGGAGCAGGGCCTTAGGCATCAGAACTAAGTACTGCTGCACCTGGCCCAGTAGTTGCCCTACCTGGTCCCCTCTCTTGGGGTGTGCTTCCCTTTACCACCCACAAGAAGCTAAGGTCCTAGGAGGGAGATCCTGGGCAAAGAAGGATGAGGGGAAAGGGGAAGTGTACATTCCTGCTTTCCCTGTCCCAATCTCTTCCCCACCAAAAAATGCTTCTCTCTGCTCCCCTAGTGGGCTTGTTGGAAAGGAGGGCACTTATTCCTGCTCCCCTCAGCCCTTCTTAGGGAGGAGGTTCACTGATCCTCCAGTTAGGAGGACTTCTTGGGGACAGGGGCCAATCCAAGGGGGAAGGCCTCACTGCTCCTGTAGTCAGGAGTGCTTCTTGGGAGTGGAGGGCCAGGCCAGGCCATCTCACTGCTCCTCTAGCCAGGAGGGTTTCTCAGAGCCTGGGGGCCGAAGCTTGATGTTGAACTGCTGCAGGGTCTGCTCAAGTTGTTGCTGGTTCCCAGCGAAGTAAGCGGACACGGCATTGTGGAAAAGCAGCAGCTGTTTGTGCATCACCTTGATCTGGGGGCATGGATGGGGGTCAGTTGGGAGGAGGTGGGAAGAGAAAAACATTGAGAGGAGTTAGGGGGTAGGGGTGAGGGGGATGGTTTAGCACCTTGTTCTCCTCCAGAAATTTGAGCTTGATAGCCACGTCCCCACGAAGTTTCTCATACTTCTCACGATGTGTCTGGAATGTGGCCTGGGCACTTTCAAGTCGGCCCAGGGTCCCAGCATCCCGTGGACCCAAGCTCAGTTCCTCTAAGTCTGTGCGGTATGCATCATATTCCAGTCTGGGGGAATGGAGAGAGTCATGTATGAATAAAACATGGGAAGTAAGGCTTAAGGTCTCCTGACCTTGAGCCCCTTACTCACTCCGCACTATAGCTTTCTGGCTCATGCAGTCCTACCTGGCAGCCTCATATTGCTTGACAGTCATAAGAGTGTCTTCCATGGTTTTGGTGACCAGGGTGTTGATGCTGGACACAAAGAAGTTGACAGCCCCCAACAGGGTCTCCCCATTCTTACACAGCAACTTCTGTGTCTCTGCATTATAACCAAATTCCTCCTGTGGGTTGGATGAACATAGGGGCCCAGAGGTCACGTCTTGCCACTGGCCCCCTGTTGCCCTCAAAGTGGAAGGGAGGTAGGTGCACACACCTGGAGCTCAGGGGACTTCTGGCTGAGGTCAGCGAAGGCATCACCCAGGGCATGCTGAGTCTGCAGCAGGCTATAGAGGTGAGCAGTGAGTGCCCGGCCCAACTGAAGAATACTCTCATACTTGCGCTTTGTGTCCCGTAGCAGCTCAATCTGCAGCTCCAACTCTAGGTCCACAGTGCGTGATCCCCGGCCAAATCGCTCGGACAGCAGCTGCTTTGTACACTGAGCAGGCCCCAGGTCCCAGGCAGTCAGAGGGCCCTCCCATAGACAAGAGACCCCCAGAAAATGGAAACACTTGGCCCCCCTCCCAAGCTTCAGTGACTATGAGCCCCTGGATGAGCAAGGGCAGGGTTGAAGGAAGGGATGGGATGGGATTCGGGACCACGGGAAGAGGGAGGGTATTAACAGGAGGTAGGATATGGGAGAACCCATGGGACAGAGGGCTGAGGGGACACAAGCCCCACCTTGTAGGTGTTGATGCCCCACTTCTTTACAATGTCAAACTTCTCCCCAGCAATGCCCCGGGCCACCTCGTCACCAGGGCCGGCAGGGGTTGCACTGTGGGGCTGCTGACGGCCAGGCCCTAAAGGACAAAATTCTGTGATCTGCATGATAACCATTTCCATCTCTACCCCCTCCTTTGTCCCTCTACCCGATAATTCCTCAGATATTAACCCCCAATAATTCCCCAGGCCCTCTGCCTCATACCTGTGGGGATAAGACCATCAGCTGAGCCCCCATAGCCTCCTGACACAATGCTCGTCTCATTGAGATTTGGTCCAGACACCATCACCTGCTGCAGGTCCTGCAAGCCAAGTGGAAGTGGAGAAGGGGTAATATTTAGGAAGAGACACAGAGATGAAGAATGGAGTTCCTCAGGGGAAGTTTAGAAAATTCAGGGGATAGAAAGTTAATCTAGTTTGGAGTAACTTTAGGGTGGCAGAAAGGGGGATTGGGAGGTCAAAGACTTGGCAAGGCTAAGGTATAGTTAGAAGTTCAGGGACAAGAGAGGTTAGAGGATGGGTTGGGAGTTTGGGTATTCAAAGGCGTATTAGAGCATTATGGGGAATCCAGAGATGGTATGATCATGAATATGAGGTTTAGGGAGATCAAGGCATGGTATGGGGGCACCAGGAAATTCAAGAGTAGTGAGGATATTAATGGAACACAGAGTAAGTAAGTCAGAGAACAGAAAGAAGTTTAGGGGCTCTTGGGTAAGGAGGTCAGAACACGGTTAACTGTACCAGGGATATGAGAACAGTGGGATGCTTGAAGCAAACAGACACCCACCTGCTCAAGCCCATCGTCTTCAGGAAGCCGTCCAGCCTCGCCATTGCCGTGGATGGGGATCTCCATGGTGGCCGCTTTCCCCAGGATCCCGTCAGTCATGGCTGGGGGAAGCAAAAGTTGGGGTAAGGACATCTATTCTTAGAAAACTTATTGTGTTTCCCACTGACCCAGGTGTTCCTCACAGGACTCAGGTGCAGGTGCATTCATCCTTCAGGAGCATTCTGCCCTGGATTTGAGTAGGTGTCCCTCCTCTCCCCTTGGCCAAACTGGATGCCCCTCCTCCCCCCATCTGTCTCAGGTGGGTGCCCCTCCTCCGTCCTGGGCTCAGGTGAGTGCTCCTCCTCCCCCCTTGAACCCTGGGTTTAGCTGGGTGCCCCTCTCCTCCCTCTCCCCAGGGCTCAGCTGAGTCCCCTTCTTCACTGAGCTCAGGGGGACGCAGCTGAACCCTCCTTCCCCCCCATTGACTCAGGTGTATGCTTTCCTCCTCCCTCCCCCCCCCCCCCCCGGCTCAGGTGTGTGTCGCCCACCTCCCCCACCTCTGGCTGGGCCACGCTCCCTTTGCTTCCTTTCCTCTCTCCCGGCGGCCTCGCCTGTCCCTGCCCTGCCCTCGGGGCGCCGGGCCCGGGGCCGTCCTGGGACCTCGGGCTCCGGTTCCCTTCGCGCTCCTCGCAGCAGGTCAGGGACACGGCGGAAATGACGTTCCCCGCCTGGCAAATGAAGGCAGCCGCGTTGCCCACCGCTAGGGCGGAAGTGACGCCACGAGCCGGGACACGCCGCACAGCGCCGTAGGTGGACGAAAGCTGTGTGCGGTTTCGGAAGTGACGTGAGGGGTCTGCGCCCGGTGGGGCCATGGAGTCACAGCAGCAGCAGCAGGTGCAGCAGCAACAGCAGCAGCTGAGAAACGTGAGTCGGGAGGCGAACGGTTCTCTTTGGCCCGGCGGATCCCTAGCTCCTACCCCGCGGGCTGCCGGAGCCTCAGGAGCCACACACGGTCTGGGACAAAGGGAAGGGAGAGACCCGGTGTGTTAAGAGAGGTCAGGCTGTGCGGCCGACTTCGGAGCATGCGCCCTTTGGTGCATCCTTAGTCCCGGGATCGTGGGGCTGGAAGCAGTCTGAAGTTGAAATGGAGAGGTCTGGATGGCCCAGGACGGACAAGGGGATCCTTCGGGAGAATGTTTAAAGGGCAGGGACCCTGAATGCTCTGGACTTCTCCCTCTCGTGTCTGAAGCTGGATGGGGAAGGAGGTGCCCGCGGGGCTCGTCTGCTCTCGCGCGCTCACATTCGTGTATCTGCACAAAAGCCTTCTCTGCAGCCTCAGGCCCCTTCCTCAGGCTTATCCTTATCAATGCTTTAGAAAGAGCTCTGGGTTTGGAGGCGAAAGACTTGGGCTCTTGTTCTGGTTCTCTGATTGATTCACTTTTTTTAACCCCAGGCAGGTCACTTGTCCCCCTCAGCCTGTTCTATAAAAGTTAACGATGTAATATTTAATGTCACTTCCAGTTCTGATTATCTAAGCCTCTTCCGTAGAGGGTCTCTCTCCCCAGGGACCTCATCACTCCTCTTACTCTGAGCTCTTCTCTTTGCCCCCAGCTTCGGGACTTCTTGTTGGTGTACAACCGGATGACAGAACTCTGTTTCCAACGCTGTGTGCCCAGCTTGCACCATCGAGCCCTGGATGCAGAAGAGGTGTGTAAGAGGTGTTCTCTGCAGGGAGGTGGAGAGTGCACCTCTGGACTGAAGAGGGAAACTGTAACTGTGGAAGGGAAGGTTGTTTACTCATGGGAAGGAGGGAGACTGACACCACCCTTCTTCCCCCCTTCTAGGAGGCTTGCCTGGACAGCTGTGCAGGAAAGCTAGTCCACTCCAATCATCGCCTAATGGCTGCCTATGTACAGCTGATGCCTGCCCTGGTACAGCGGCGCATGGCAGACTATGAGGCCACTGCGGCACTGGCAGAGACAACTGGATCTCCATCAAGTCCCAGGGCTGGCCAGCATGGTGCTCCAAGCCCAGGAAGCTAAGGGATTCCTGTTCACCTACCACCTTGGGATGGAAAGCTCAAATATAGGGCTTTCTGATATCTGGAAAGTGTATAGTGTGACTTGGGCTACCTAGGGGGCATTCTGGAGCTATCCTGTGTCAGTCCTACCTCTGCTGTTTGCTACCAAATGCCCTTATGTCATCACACCAGGTGCCCACTATCTCCCACAAGGGTTGGCCAGGCAGAGGGAGAGTGGGCCAGGGATACCCTTCAAATTCCAAAGGAAATAGTACAAGTGGCTAGAACCAGATGTAACTGAACAGAAAGAGAAGACTGCCTGAATCCTCAGAAGGGTTAGAAGGCAAGAGAGGAAATTATTAGTTCATGGCAACCTTTCTGACCCCCTGTCACTGAAACCCAGGGATGGCATTTCCATGAGTCTGGAAACATTCCTAACTCTATACCTTTCCCCTTATCTGACCCTGCCTGTCAGCAGTAAAGTCCTTATAAGTTTCCATGGATTGTGTGTGCTTGCTTTAGGGGGAGCAGGGTGGGGATTGGTTGAGATTTCTTATCACTCTCCTGGACAGGGGTCTAGGATAGAGAGAAAGATACTGTCTCAAAGTATTGGATATTGGATTTAGGAAGCCTCAAACTGTCAGAGAAGCTTCCTTAGGCATCTTTTGTTTGTTTCTTAGTGACTAATTTCCTTGCTAAATCCCTCTACCTATATTTTAAATTCTATTCCCTGACCTCTCTTCTACTTTGATTCAGCTATCATCCCTCTTCTTTGTCTTCCTTCCCACACAAACATTTTCTCCCTTGCTTCTCTGATCCTTAATCTTCTTATCCTAAAAAACAAAATCTTTCCCTGGACTCTGCTACTGTTTTCAGCTGTTGTTCTCTGTTTTCACTGCCAAACTTCTAGGTCTATACTAAACTTTCTCAACATTCCACTTTCTCAACACAATCTTTGATGCTCTGAAATCTGTGCCCCAGCACTATACTGAAACATTTTTCCCGTGGTTACAAATGACCGTCTTATAGCCAAATCTAATTAGTCCCTTCTCCTTCTTCCTCTTTGACCTTTGAAGCATTGCATAATCTTCTCCTTCCCCCACCCCCATTTATACTCTTTCGCCTAAAAGTGAACATTGCCAAAACTAAACTTAATGTTTTCCCCAGACCTAACTTAAAATTTCCCTGTTTCTATAGTTGCGACTATTGTCCTTTAGATATTGAGGTTTGCCTCTTGAGTCCTTTTTCACTGGTTTTTCCCTTCCCAAGGCCAAATCAATCAGTTTTCAGGCTTGTCTGTCTTTATGCATTATCTCTTGCAACCACCCCATCTCTAGTTCTGATACTAACACTCTAGTTAAGGCTCTCATCACCTTTCTCCTAGTCTGTGATGTCAGCCTCCTAAATGATCTTTCTATACTTTCTTACCTTGTTAATCCATCTACATAACCATCAAAATAATCTTACTAAATGATAATTAAGGCTGCTAATGTCAAACTGGCCCTACTTGCAAAATATTTCATGGCTCCCCATTATTTGCTGATTAAAGTTCAACCAACCTGGTATTCAAAACCCTCCATGATTTGTCCCCAACCTATCCTCCTAGCCTTGTCTTCATTGCTTCTCTTCACTTGAACCTATACCATAGCCATGTGGGGGGTATGCCTTAGGTTTTCTTGGCTCTAAGACTCTGCACATGCCATCCCCTTTACTGGGAATGTCCTTACCCACTCCTTAAGAACCAATATAAATATGACCAAGAAACTCTTTGTTTCCTTCAGTTGATGTCTTAAATACAGCCCTTTGTCCCTTTCTTGGTACTTTTACATTGTACCACCAGACTTGGGTTTGCACTTCTCGTCTTTAACTAGCTGTGTGGCCAATTGTTAAGTCTCACTGAATCTTTTTGAACCATTATCTTTAAAACTAGATAATGATACTTGCACTACCCTCCCTCACAAGGTTATGATGAAAGTTACACAACTCATTTGGGAATGGCTGCATAAATTATGATTTAAAGATGAAAAGTAGCATGGCGTAATAGAGAGCTGGCCTCTGTTAGGAAACCCTGCCTCTAAGATGTATTGACTGGGGAATCCTGGGCAATTTACCAAACCTCTCAGTGGCTGAGCAGTTGTCTATGACATTAAGTTGCAGAGAAGGTCCCAGCCTAGGTGGAAGGAGTTTCTTCATCCAGGAGTTCCCTTTATCAGTGAAATCACAAGTTTAGTCACTATCTCCATATCTCTTATTGATGAGCTATCAGTGGTGTATTATGGTACCATCAACACTATAATAGGTTAGGTAGTGGAGCTGGGATTTCATTGGTGAGGGGAATTCCTGGATGCAAAAATTTCCTCTACCATTACACATGAGTACTTTCTCTGTAACTTACAGTCTTAGTGCCACTAAGGTTAAGTGACATGCTTGCTCAGGATCACACGGGCAGTATACGTCAGAGGCAAATCTTAAATTCAGGTCTTCAGACTCAGAGGTTGATTCCACTAGGCCATACCGCGTCTCAAATAAGAATAGGAGAAATTGTGGATATGAAATATACAAAGAGAAGTCAGAATAAGAACATTGACTAAAAGGCAATGAAGCTTTGGAAGTACATTCAGAACAAAATAAATATATTTTCTATTTTTCTTTTTAATCAAGATGCAGATACTTTAAAACTGTAGAGTTTTATTTAGAAATCTCCATATTTGGGTTGCTTCTTCATTAGGAAGTATTGAAGTTTATAATTTAAAACAGGGCATGAACTATTACCCTTGTGTGCATACATGTCTTTTCTACTGTAGAGCTCTCTGAATTCAAGGACCCTGTCTTCATTCTTATTTCATGATTGCCTAGCACAGTGCCTTGCAAAGCACATATTGGGTGTTTAAACCATTGTTGAATGTATTGTTTATGTATTTCTTATTCTATAACTCAGCATGAAATTAAACTTGTATTAAGAGCTCAATAAAGACTCTTTGAATCATTTACAACCACCCAATCGCCCCTAAGTATATCACAAGTCTGGGAGAAGGGAGGGGGTCATTAGGGAAGACTCCTCAGTGTAGAAAAATTTGAGTAGGGTGTGGAAAGAATGACAAGCATGGATGGGTGGACAAAATGGAGGGCACTCATGGTTGTGGTTTAAAATGGGAGTTGGCAAATTGGCACAAGGGCCAAATCCAGTCAATTTTTGAATAACCAGCAAGCTAAGAATGGTTTTTACATTTTAAGAAACAATAAAACTATGCCATGGGCTATACAAAAACAGGCCGGGGCTGCATTTGGTCCGTGGGCCATAGTTTGTCAAGGCATGATGTAGAGGAATCACTGAGATAAGGTTCAAGGAAGTGACCAGTAGAGTATCTTGTCAGAACTAGAGGGGATATGTTAAGAAGTACATTGAAACCTAGAAAAGAGGCAGATTATGGGGCACCTAGAAAATCAGGTTGGAGGAGAGTGGAAAGTCTTTTTTAGGAATCTGGCCAGAAGATGAACAATTTGAGAAATACATTTCAACAAATGATAAGTGCCTATTTCCTGCAAGGCAGTGGGCCAGCTTCTGGAGCCATTCTTTACATGGCATGAAGGAATGGCCTAGTAATAATGGAGGATTTCTATTATCTGACTATCTTATGAGCAGAACATCTGCTAAGTTCTTGGGTTGCTATAATGATAATTACATTCTTCCAATGGCAGTAAGCAACAATGGAAACTATTATTTTGGACTTCATTATGACCAGGAAGAAGGAACTTGTTCCTCAAGCAGAAATGTTGGGAACTTTTGGGAGAAGTAACCACTCTAATTTAGAATTTAATAGAAGATAAAAAAAGTGGGCATAAACTGATGCATAGGTTTTAGGTGAGTGGATTGGAAGGTCTCAAAGGAGAGGTCCATGAGTGTGTGGAACACTGCATCTATCATCAGATCTTTTTCAATGTGTTGACTAATTTTGCTGATTTTTTCTTTTAAAAATTGTTATAACAGGGGGCAGCTAGGTGGTGCACTGGAAAGAGCACTGGCACTGGAGTCAGGAGGACCCAAGTTCCAATACGGCCTCAGATACATAACACTAGCTGTATGACTCTGGGCAAGTCACTTAACCCCAATTGCCTCACCAAAAAAAAAAAAATTGTTATAATGGATAACTTTCTAAGAGCAGGGATTGAGAGTGATTTGGGGATAAATCTAGGCGATGTAAAAGGAAAAGCTATCAATAAAAATCTATTTGTAAAAAGTCAACAAGCATTTATTAAACACTTCTCGTCGTTTGTCCTTCATGCTCAAAGAAAACCAAAATCACATTCAGGATCAGTACACAGTGTGTCCTGCTGTGGCTGATCATACCAATAGGAACTCAGAAGGCTCTACAATAGGTCAGGCACAAATAGTCTGTATGACCATTTGAGAGGGAGATGTCTCTAAATCTTTGCATCTCATGTTTCTTTTGAGTTACTGTAATTCTACTTTGCTCATAGAGCACGACTTTGATGCAGGCACACCATGTGAGACAGTCCTGTGCCAGTGTCTTCTATGTCTCACAATCAATACCAAAGTTCTTTAGAGAGACCTTGGGAGCATCCTTGTACGGCTTCTTCTGAACACCATGTGAATGCCTACCTTGTATGAGTTCTCCATAAAACAGTCTTTTAGGCAAACATACCTTTGCCATTTGAACAACAATGGCCAGCTCATTGGAGTTGCACTGTCTCTAGTAGAGTTTGAATGCTTGGCAGTTCAGCTTGAAAAAGGACCTCAGTGTCTGGTACCTTCTCTTGCCAGGTGATCTTCAGATTCTCCTGATACAATTGAAATGGAAGTGATTCAGTTTCCTGGCAAGGTGCTGGTAGACTGTCCAAGTTTCACAGGCATACAACAATGAGGTCAGCACAATGGCTTCAGTTTTGTAGTCAGCCTAATACTTCGTCTCTCCCACACATTCTTTCAGAGCCTCCCAAACACTGAGCTAGCTCTGGCAATGAGTGTGTCAACTTCATTATCAAATGTGTACATCCTTGAAAAGTATACTGCCAAGGTAAGAGTGAACTTACCCACAACATTCAGAATTTCTCCATTGCTATAATCAGTGGTTCCATGTATGGATGATGGGGTGCTGGCTGGTGGAGAACCTCAATTTTCTTGGTATTAATTGTCAGGACAAAATTAGCACAAGCATCAGAGAGTCGATCTATACTTTGTTGTAACTCAGCCTCAGAGGCTCAGAGGGATAATATTCCAGGTATGGGGGACAGCTAGTGAACAGTCCAGAGTTAGGAGACTGAGTGCAAGTAGATTGCAGAATATTTGGTTGAGGGTAAAATGTAAGAAGACTAGAAAGAGGGAGGGGGGCTGTTATAAAGGGTTTTGAACACAGAGGATTTTTTATTTGATCCTCAAGGTGATAAGGAATCACTGGAATTTATTGAATGGAGTGAGTGGGGGGAAGGTGACATGGTCAGACTTGCTTTAGGAAGATTAATTTGATAGCTGAATGGAGGAT